CGGGAAGGGCAGGTCCCTACCCCCAGAATGACAGTCCCTCCCCCAAAAATACAGGCCCTCTACTCCCAGGAATACGGTCCCTCTCCCAGGAATGACGGGTCCCTACCCCAGAATGACGGGTCCTCTACCCCCAGGAATGACAGTCCTCTACTCCCAGGAATGACAGGTCCTCTACCCCCAGAATGACGGGCCCTCTACTCCCAGGATGACAGGTCCTCTCTCCCAGGAATACGGGGGGGTCCCTACTCCCGGGGAATGACAGCCTCTACTCCCAGGAATGACAGGTCCCTACTCCGGAATGACGGGGTTCCCCCGGGGGTTTTACCCCGGGAATAAGGTCCTCTACTCCCAGGAAATGACAGGTCCCTACCCCCAGAATGACAGTCCCTCCCCCGGGAATGACGGTCCTCTACTCCCAGGAATGACAGGTCCTCTACTCCCAGGAATGACAGTCCTCTACCCCAGGAATGACAGGTCCCTACTCCCAGGAATGACAGTCCTTACTCCCGGGAATGACGGGTCCTCTACTCCCAGGAATGACAGGTCCTCTACCCCCAGGAATGACAGGTCCTCTACTCCCAGAATGACAGGTCCTACTCCCAGGAATGACAGGTCCTCTACTCCCAGGAATGACAGGTCCTCTACTCCCAGGAATGACAGGTCCTCTACTCCCGGGAATGACAGGTCCCTCTACCTTTTTCCCCCAGGAATGACAGTCCCTATTTCCCAGGAATGACAGGCCTCTACTCCAGAATGACGGTCTCTACTCCAGGAATGACAGTCCTCTACTCCCAGGAATGACAGGTCCTCTACTCCCAGGAATGACAGGTCCTCTACTCCCAGGAATGACAGGTCCTCTACTCCAGAATGACAGGTCCTCTACTCCCAGGAATGACAGGTCCTCTACTCCCAGGAATGACAGGTCCTCTACTCCCAGGAATGACAGGTCCTCTACTCCCAGGAATGACAGGTCCTCTACTCCCAGGAATGACAGGTCCTCTATCCCAGAGATGACAGGTCCTCTACTCCCAGGAATGACAGGTCCTCTACTCCCGGAAATGACAGGTCCTCTACTCCCAGAATGACAGGTCCTCTAGCTCCCAGAATGACAGGTCCTCTACTCCCAGGAATGACAGGTCCTCTACTCCCAGCAATGACAGGTCCTCTACTCCCAGGAATGACAGGTCCTCTACTCCCAGGAATGACAGGTCCTCTACTCCCAGGAATGACAGGTCCTCTACTCCCAGGAATGACAGGTCCTCTACTCCCAGGAATGACAGGTCCTCTACTCCCAGGAATGACAGGTCCTCTACTCCCAGGAATGACAGGTCCTCTACTCCCAGGAATGACAGTCCTCTACTCCCAGGAATGACAGTCCTCTACTCCCAGAATGACAGGTCCTCTACTCCAGGAATGAGTCTCCAGGAATACAGGTCCTTACTCCCAGGAATGACAGGTCCTCTACTCCCAGGAATGACAGGTCCTCTACTCCCAGGAATGACAGGTTCTCTACTCCCAGGAATGACAGGTCCTCTACTCCCAGGAATGACAGGTTCTCTACTCCCAGGAATGACAGGTCCTCTACTCCCAGCAATGACAGGTCCTCTACTCCCAGGAATGACAGGTCCTCTACTCCCAGGAATGACAGGTCCTCTACTCCCAGGAATGACAGGTTCTCTACTCCCAGGAATGACAGGTCCTCTACTCCCAGGAATGACAGGTCCTCTACTCCCAGGAATGACAGGTCCTCTACTCCCAGGAATGACAGGTCCTCTACTCCCAGGAATGACAGGTCCTCTACTCCCAGGAATGGCAGGTCCTCTACTCCCAGGAATGACAGGTCCTCTACTCCAGGAATGACAGGTCCTCACTCCAGGAATGACAGGTCCTCTACTCCCAGGAATGACAGGTCCTCTACTCCCAGAATGACAGGTCCTCTACCCAGCAATGACAGGTCCCTCTACTCCCAGGAATGACAGGTTCTCCCACTCCCAGGAATGACAGGTCCTCTACTCCCAGCAATGACAGGTCCTCTACTCCCAGGAATGACAGGTCCTCTACTCCCAGGAATGATAAGATAAGATTTCGTTCGGATTTTTAACCCCGGAGGGTTAGCCACCCAGGATAACCCAAGAAAGTCAGTGCGTCATCGAGGACTGTCTAACTTATTTCCATTGGGGTCCTTAATCTTGTCCCCCAGGATGCGACCCACACCAGTCGACTAACACCCAGGTACCTATTTGCTGCTAGGTGAACAGGACAACAGGTGTAAGGAAACGTGTCGAAATGTTTCCACCCGCCGGGAATCGAACCTTGGCCCTCCGCGTGTGAAGCGGGAGCTTTAGCCACCAGGCCACCGGCCACCTCTACTCCCAGGAATGACAGGTCCTCTACTCCCAGCAATGACAGGTCCTCTACTCCCAGGAATGACAGGTCCTCTACTCCGAATGAAGGTCCTCTACTCCCCAGCAATGACAGGTCCTCTTACTCCCAGGAATGACAGGTTCCTCTACTCCCAGCAATGACAGGTCCTCTACTCCCAGGAATGACAGGTCCTCTATCCCAATGACAGGTCCTCTACTCCCAGGAATGACAGGTCCTCTACTCCCAGGAATGACAGGTCCTCTACTCCCAGCAATGACAGGTCCTCTACTCCCAGGAATGACAGGTCCTCTACTTCCAGGTCCTCTACTCCCAGAGCTCGGCCCTGTGTCAGGCTTATCTGGTGCTTGCCTGGTCAACCAGGCTGTTGCTACTGGTGGCACCTGGCGGAAGAAATTATCTAGATTTATTTTAATTACTTCTTCGCTTAATGTTGGTACATTAATGATGGTGCTAGCACATTATATGGTGTTAGCATATATATAATGGTGTTAGCACATGATACATGATGGTGTTAGCACATTACATGATGGAGTAGCACTAACACCAGTTAGTACATAATATGATGGTTTCAGCACATATTAATGTTATATGAGGGTGTTTGCATTTATGTTATATGATGGTGTTAGCACATATTAATGTTATATTAGGGTGCTAGCACATATTAATGTTATATGAGTGTGTTAGCACATATTAATGTTATATGAGGGTGTCAGCACAGATTAATGTTATATATGAGGGTGTTAGCACGTTATGTGAGTGTTAGCACATATGTTACATGAGGGTCTCAACATATATGAGGGGTGTCAGAACATATGTTATATGAGGGGTGTCAGCACATATGTTATATGAGTGTCAGCACATACGAGGGTGTCAGCACATATAAGGGTGTCAGCACATGCAACGTGACAATTCTCACATAACGTATGACAGAAAAACTGATCTGAACGTCAGAAGTTTTAGCAGTCTATGTACAGTACCTTCTGCGCAAAGTTCCACTGGATCTTGATGCTTTGATGTAGGATAAACGTCTACTGGATCTTGATCCTTTGATGTAGGATAAACGTCTACTGGATCTTGATCCTTTGATGTAGGATAAACGTCTGCTGGATCTTGATGCTTTGATGTAGGATAAACGTCTACTGGATCTTGATTCTTTGATGTAGGATAAACGTCTGCTGGATCTTGATCCTTTGATGTAGGATAAACGCCTGCTGGATCTTGATCCTTTGATGTAGGATAAACGTCTGCTGGATCTTGATCCTTTGATGTAGGATAAACGTCTGCTGGACGCCTTATGGATCCTTTGATGATGTAGGATAAACGTCTGCTGGATCTTGAGTACCTCTTGATTTTCAGGATAAACGTCTGCTGGATCTTGATTCTTTGATGTAGGATAAACGTCTGCTGGATCTTGATCCTTTGATGTAGGATAAACGTATGCTGGATCTTGATTCTTTGATGTAGGATAAACGTCTCCTGAATCTTGATTCTTTGATGTAGGATAAAAGTCTGCTGGATCTTGATCCTCTGGTGTAAGATAAAGGTCTGCTGAATATTGATCTTCTGATGTAGTATAAAGGTCTACTGGATCTTGATCCTCTGATGTAGTATAAAGGTCTATTGGATCTTGATCCTCTAATGTAAGACTAAGGTCTACTGGATCTTGATCGTTTGATGTAGGATAAAGGTCTGCTGGACCTTGATCCTCTAATGTAGGATAAAAGTCTGCTGGATCTTGATCCTCTGGTGTAAGATAAAGGTCTGCTGAATATTGATTTTCTGATGTAGTATAAAGGTCTACTGGATCTTGATCCTCTGATGTATAAAGGTCTACTGGATCTTGATCCTCTGATGTAAGACTAAGGTCTACTGGATCTTGATCGTTTGATGTAGGATAAAGGTCTGCTGGACCTTGATCCTCTAATGTAGGATAAAAGTCGCAGGATCTTGATCCTCTGGTGTAAGATAAAGGTCTGCTGAATATTGATTTTCTGATGTAGTATAAAGGTCTACTGGATCTTGATCCTCTGATGTAGTATAAAGGTCTACTGGATCTTGATCCTCTGATGTAAGACTAAGGTCTACTGGATCTTGATCCTTTGATGTAGGATAAAGGTCTGCTGGACCTTGATCCTCTAATGTAGGATAAAAGTCTGCTGGATCTTGATAATCTGATGTAGGACAAAGGTCTGCTGGATCTTTATCCTCTGATGCAAGATAAAGGTCTGCTGGATCTTGATTTTCTGATGTAGAATAAAGGTCTGCTGGATCTTGATCTTCTGATGTAGAATAAAGGTCTGCTGGATCTTGATCTTCTGATGTAGAATAAAGGTCTGTTGGATCTTGATCTTCTGATGTAGAATAAAGGTCTGCTGGATCTTGATCTTCTGATGTAGAATAAAGGTCTGCTGGATCTTGATCTGATGTAGAATAAAGGTCTGCTGGATCTTGATCTTCTGATAGTAGAATAAAGGTCTGCTGGATCTTGATCTTCTGATGTAGAATAAAGGTCTGCTGGAGTTTGATCCATTGATGCAGTGGATGATGCAGGTGGATCTTGACCCTCGCACCAACATAGACCTGGAAAACGTACAAGGAGGATGACAAAGTTGATTCCATGTATCAGAAATCTTTCCTACGAGGATAGAGTGAAGCCCTGAATCTGCACTCTCTAGAAAGGCGTAGAATCAGGGAGGATATAACTGAGTTGTATAATAGGAAAACAGGAATAAATAAAGGGGATGTAAATAACGTGCTAAAAATATCTAACCAAGAGAGGACTCGCAGCAATGGTTTTAAGTTGGAAAAATTTAGATTCAGAAAAGATATAGGAAAGCACTGGTTTGGTAATAGAGTTGTGGATGAGTGGAACGAACTCCCGAGTACTATCATAGAAGCTAAAACGTTGTGTAGCTTTAAAAATAGGTTGGATAATTACAGGAGTGGGTGTGAGTTGGACTTGATTGGGTCACTGACTTAAGCCGGTGGGAAACTTGGACCTGCCTCGCATGGGCCAGTAGGCCTGCTGCAGTGTTCTTCTCAGTAGTATCAGTTACTAATAGTATCAGTTACCAGTAGTGTCAGTAATAATGACTCATCCAACCGCTACTGATTCAGTGCCTCTTGCGTGAATCACTGACCGTTACTGCTGACCTAGTAAGTTTTGAATGCCGCTCAGCCTCCGAGGCACTCAGCAAGTCGAGTCGTAAGAGAATATATGGCTCGCATATATTCCATCCAATATACTATAACATTCAATGTGAGTGTTTATTATCCAATCCATATTACGAACTCCACACGACATTCCTTCTTTCTTATGTTCTTATGAGTGGGTGTGGGTGGGTGGGTGTAAGTTGGACCTAACTAGTTTGGGCCAGTAGGTGACTTGGACTTGCCTAGCATGGGGCAGTAAGCCTGCTTCATTGTTCTGTCTTATGTTCGTATTTTAACCCTGGCAAGAGATAGTATAATAACCTATGTGACATGTCAAGATTTCTTATTAATTTCCTGAATTTGCTTGTAACAGATAAGTGAACTGTAGGTATGTAGATATAAATCCAAATGTACACCTGTTAACCCTTTTGGGGCCTAGTTCCTGGGTCTTTTGTGTATCCATATGCTCTTGCGCTTCCCTCCACAGGATGGATATGGGATGCACAATAAACTAGCAACTCTGGTGGCAAAATTTAAATAAAATCTCTGACAACAACATTGTTGACACTTGTTCTGTAGAGTTTTTTCCGTTTATTTATTTCCTGTTTATAACAACCGTAGGTGAAACTAGCAGGGGTGGACTAACAAGTACAACACTTGCTTACACTTTACTTATTACAGAATACTCGCTTACACTGTACTGGCTACTACAACACTTGTTTACACTGTACTGATAACTACAACACTCGTTTACACTGCACTGACTACTACAACACTCGTTTACACTGTAATGACTACTACAACACTCGTTTACACTGTAATGACTACTACAACACTCGTTTACACTGTAATGACATACAACTCGTTACACTGCACTGACTACTACAACACTCGTTTACACTGTAATGACCACTACAACACTTGCTAGCCGGGTCACCATCTGAAAAAAAGACCCGGGCCCAGACAACGCCAGCGAACGAACCTACTACGTACAACATTCGCGACTGCTTCTTCCCTGACACTGCACTGGTGAGTACAGTACGGCTGGGATGGGAAAGCCACACGTACTGAACCAGTCACACACTGAGTCAGTCAAGCCTGCCACGAATCATCTCAAAAGTATTACTCCTTTTTTCCCCCTCAGCTCTGTCACACTGTAAACAGTTCATTATCGTTGTCATTTGCTTAGCTACCAAAATGTTGGGGTCCAGTCGCTGGACCCACTATGCACCTCTGTAATCTGCTGACTACTTGGAAGGATCAAAAATCGTTTAATGACTTATCTGTAAATTGTAGGTTTAGTGATGAATGTTCCGGATCAAACAAAACAGTATAAGGGCTCTTCACAAATTCCACTGATCTACATAACGCAGAACAATGCTCCTCACCGTTTACAATAAAACTGGTTCCCACACATTACTGAGTCCGCCAGCTAAGTCATCAGTAATTCTACCATAGCCAGTGGTTAGAACACTGATCTCAAGTAAACACCACTGTTTATACCACTGCACACGACAGCTGTTGCTTAGTGCTGTCACTGCTATGCTTCCGTCACAGAAACCCAGACTATCACACTCACATCCGTTTTTTTCAGTAGACTCTATTGTATATACACTGCTGTACACACAGCGCAGCAGCGTACACCAGCGGCTGCTTCTTGATGCACCCCAGCCATATGTCTAGTGATTTTTGCCCTGATGAATGGAACACGTTTTAGTTAAACACCTGGAAAACCCGCAGTAGATGCTGCCCTGCTCCGCCATGTACTCACACCTATTTGTGGTTGCAGGGGTCGATTCATAGCTCCTGGCCCCGCCTCTTCACGTGATCCCCC